GCTCTAAACGGCTTTACCTGCATGCAAGAATGTGGGATAGGAGGATGTGTCTAACGGTTATTTATTTTCATTGATTTCACAGCTGTGCTGAAATCAAACACCTGGCTTGAATGCTGGAATGGATTGGGATTGTCGCCACCCAACATCTTAGGGAAGCTGCTTTGAACTGCAGTCTGTCAAGATAGAAGCTAACCATATAATTAAACAAGCTACTGTATTAAATTAGCAGTTAGCTATTCTACACAAGCAAGAAGTATAGCTTACTACTCTGATGTAACTTGGGGGGTGATATATTTGATATGTAAAAAATATGTTTTAATTTTTTTAAAATGAAAATTTCTAATTATCCGATGATGATTCATAACTTACAAGGCATATTTTTGCTGGTAAAAACAAAAAAAAAACAATGAAGGATTTAAAATGAATAATCTCATTTAGAGAGTTTTTTAGTATGGGAAACAAACTTTGAAAATGTGTGAAGACAAATATCAACACATGATGTTATGCAGACTTTTTAAAAAAAAATGTTATATATCTATGAGTTAAATCTATCTCAAAAATGCTTTTGTATATACTTTTTATAAATACTTTTTGTCTCATTTCCATATCTCACACACTTCTGAGACTAAATTTTGTTATATTGCTTATTGATGAACCAAGCAGCATCTTATTCATCTGGAAGTTTATGCAACTAAAATGTTTTTAATTGATTTAAAATGTTCCAGAGTAATATTTATGTTGTTTTGTTAGAAAAAGTATATGTAACATTCATAAATTTGACTGAGCAGTCATTTATTAAATAAAAGGAGAGTAAATCCAGTTGATATTGGTAATTCTTAAATTTTATTTTCTTATACATTTAATTTAATTTCATAATTATATATTAATTATATGTCTTATGCAGATTTTACATTCATTATGAGGGTTAAAATCATTTTCGGAAAAGCTGCACTACACACACACACACACACACACACACACACACAACGTACAGTTTATTTCTTTAAAGGTTCTCGAACTGTCTCTTAGTTTAGTTGGGGAAGGGATTAAAAACAATATTAAAATACATCAGTGTATTTTCTGAAGATAACATGGTTCTCAACCTTTTTGCCCCCAGGGCCCCCACACAAGACTTTTTGACCTCAGAAAAGCATCAAAGTGATTCAAAACAGCTTTTGACATTGTAGTAAATACCCATTCATAGCAAACATATGAGAGTGGAGTAACATATCAAAAATCTGAGGAGAAAGGGGTTCCTCTTATGGTTCTACAGAGCACCTTCAAAGATAGGTGCTAGCCTATAGCACTTAAACTGGTTCCCCTATGATTACGAGCCAATGAACCACCTTTAGTGCTATTTAGCACCATTATTTTAGAGCAGGGGTGCCCAACCCTGCTCCTGGCGATCGACTGTCCTGCAAAGTTCAGCTCCAACCCTAATCAAACACACCTGAAGCAACTAATTAGGGTCTTCAGGATCACTTAAAAATTAAAGGCAGGTGTCTTTGATTAGAGTTGGAGCTAAACTTTGCAGGACAGTCGATCGCCAGGAGCAGGGTTGGGCACCCCTGTTTTAGAGTATAGTTTGAATACAGTTAAACTACTTTAGCTAATTTAGTAGCATCACTACCTTACTCCCCAGCATGGAGCAGCTATAAAGCACAAAAAAACTTAATTTACAGCCAACAGCTCATTCTGTTACGATACATTTGGCTCCAGTGCTGACTAGTTACATCTAATATTTCCAATTTAGTCATTTATAGATGCATTAGCATTGAAACAGACTTTCCACAACAACTAAAACATGTTAAAAGTCATAAAAACCATAATTAAGAGTATGAGGCACTGTTATTGAGCCATAACCCAATGTAATGAGATCCACTGGACTACAGCACGCAGGTTTCTTTCTTTTTGAGTGCATGCCAAGTGGTCAGGTCAGAATGAATTAGATTTGAACAGGATGCTACTGTGTTGTTTTCCTGCAAACACTGAGTGCTTGTAACATGAAGAATTAGGGCCTGGACTTTATAAATAGCCATTCACCACAATTGATGGGTCCTTTGAAGCTCTAGAGGTTTCCACTTCCACCAGCCCACTTGTGGTGCGAAGTATTGTTTTGTATTCAAATATATCACAAGTTTGAAAGCATCAAATGGAAATATTTCTTTCAAGCTTCCCTCAGACTGCACTCAAAGCTTTCGTGGATTGAATCGTCATCGCACAGGCGTCTCCTCCTTTGTGTAATAGTAAGCAGTCATATATTAGGGGGTTATTCAGTGCTGCCACAAGTGATCATATGATAGAGCCTCAAAGAACATTACATAATCTAAAGAAAAGCTGCATAAGATAGAAAACTGCTTTCTTGTAGAAGACCTTAGAATTTAAAAAGAAAAAAAGACCTAAATATTATTTCAATTATTTATTTCTTCTTTTTTTTTTTTTTTTTTGAACGGAGCTATTACATTTCAAGACATTAAGTTACAACTTGGATATACAAGTTGCAAATATTAAATATAAAGTCAAATGGGAGAAATAAAAATGGCAATGACCTCTTCCAATTCTGCAGCAGAAACAGGTTTCCATACATAAAGGAAAGCTGGAGGAAGCTGAAATAGATTTCGTACGTTTCATATTAAAAATAAATATGACCAAAACAATCATATAGAAGCAACTTTATATATTGCGATTCTGAGTTTTTACTCACAATTGTATTTTTTCTGAGAAAAATAGTCAGTTGTAAGATATAAGGTTAGAAGTGCAAAATATAAAGATGCAACAATCTTCCATATGATTGTCTTTCTGTAATATCTATTTTTAATAAGGGGTTTACAAAATCTATTTCAGCCCCCTCCAGCTTTATGAATTGTGAGGTGTAATCTCACAATAGCAAGATATGGAGTCACAATTCTAAGAAGTAAAGTCTGAATCGTGAGAGGGAAAAAAACAATAGAACTGTGAAATGTGAACTCAGAATTCGTTGGGGGAAAAATGCAAGATTTAGAATTGTGAGATATAAACTCAGAATTGCAAGCAAAAGTCAGAATTGCGAGAAAGAAAGAAAAAAAATAAAATGTTTATATATATATATATATATATATACATACAATTTACATTTGTTTGATGATCTGAAACACTAAAGTGTGACAAACATGCAAAAAAATAAGAAATCAGGAAGGGGGCCAACACTTTTTCACACCACTGTAGGTACTAATTTGTACAATGTACCTTTAAAGCACTAATGCACTTTTTGTGGGTCAATAAGGTACAAAGTTATACCTTTTGAAAGGGTACTGTCCCAGTGTCAGCTTTTATAGCCTACCTTTTTTCTGAGTGTACTGCAGGGCTACATCAATGGCTAAAACAGTTTAATTCTGCCAGATACTAGACACAAGTGCTCACATACTTTTTCCATTAATTATTTTGGTTGTACAAAGCATTTGTTCATTAAAAACACAGAACTGCCAAATGTTGTGCATGTTGCTAATTGAATAAGTCCGTGGTGGACGACTGCAGATATATGTTGGTTTTTGATCAGAGGAAAAGGTTCACAATGACCCTTCCGTCTGTTTCCATGGGCACAACATTAGTGCACTGCCCCAGCTGGATCAGATTTGAAGCACCGACCCCATGCACAGCATCTTTAAAACAAATACAGCTTTACTTTAAAGTGAAACAACATGCAATAGGATCTAGCATTGGTTTGGAAAGGGAATGCAATAATGCATCAACGGTATTTCTCTTCCTGGTCTTGGACTGTCTGTGACACCCGAACATGCAGACTAAAATTTTCCCATTACATCCGGTGATTACTATATGGATATTACATGCAGCGATTCTGGATACAGAGAAAATAAGTCATTTAGAAATGAAATTGATGTCAGGAGTAAAAGGTCTCTAAATGGCAATCAGCATTTATGAAACGTGACTGAGAAAAATAATCAACGCCACCCTTCCAGAAATGGGGAGAGAATTGCGTCAATGTCAATGATGTGGGTAGAGCACTGTTAATGATTTAATTTGCATTGCAGAACTGTCATTTGCATTGTGTTAATCTTATTTAACCAGCTACTCAAAGATGGCAATCAACAAGGTTACTGTAAGACACACAAATGACTCTAAAAGGTTCTGGAGACATTTTTGTATTATACATTGTAATTAGCAAAATGCAGATTGATGCATATGCTTTCAAAAGCCTATTGTGTGCCATGAAACTCAACGTGCACATTAATGTCCAATCAGATTTTAAGTTGTTTTTTTTTTCCATGCAAAACAAGCCAGCATAATTCTAGTGCATTGCTATGTGGTTGTTAGCCCATTTTTGTGGTTGCTAGTGGTCTACTTACTACCCTAAATCAAAGAGTTCCTCTAAACCACTATGATATTCCGATCCTTATAGCTCAGTACTTTCAGTGTAAATCAATTAGATTTTTTTAGCCATTTTATCATCGGCCAGGGAAAAAAAAAAAAAATCATAACTTAGAAAGGTAATTGAACACCTGTCCTTAAAGATCTGCAAGATATGAAAGAACAGTTCACTCCCCCCCAAAAAATTGCTGGCAATTTTCTCGTGTAAAGGCGCTTGTTTGGAGAAATTTAGCATTCACCACCTGTTCACCAATGGATGCTCTGCAGTGAATGTGTGCCATCAGTACGGGAGTCCAAACAGCTTATAAAAGCATTACAATAATCTATAAAAAAAAAAATCCACAACTCCAGTCCATCAATTAACGTCATATGAAGTGAAAAGTTGCATTTGTTAGAAACTAATCCATTCTTAAGACGTTTTTAAACTTCAAACGGTTCCGAGTCCTCTGTCCATAATATTGCTTTCTCCAATAAAGAAACAAACTCCTCTACATCTTGGATGACCTGAGGGGGAGTAAATATTCAGCAATTTTAGCGTGTACTATTCTTTCAGGTATAATTTTTTATTGATAAAAGGATGAGCTACATCCCAAAATTGGTAAGGTTTTTGACAAATCAACAGTAGTAGTTTGCCTTTACAGCTACGACTAATTACAGTGTGGCAGCTTTAGTAAAGCTGAGATTTTGGATTTAATTTTAAGTGCATAAAGCCAAAAATTTTAAAGTATCAAAATATGCTTTCAAAAAGAGTTAAACCCAGTAATTACCAAGAAGTTACACTCTAGCAATCTCCTCCTGCAATTAGCAGAATAACATCTTAAGTGGGTCTTTCTGTCTCTATACTGACATGATCCCCCCCCTTAACAGTTTCCTTACAGCTCAGGCTGTAGAAATCATGCAGAAAATATTCATAATCGTGCTGACCCTGCGAGAGACTGGAGTCCAGGGTTTTTCCTCATTCTTTCAGAACAGCCTTGACAAGCTCACAGTACCTGCAATTCTCATGAGAATGAGAGCAGTAAGAACACCTTACCAAGTTAATGTCAGCGTGATTAAACATTACCTTTGTGAGGAAGAATACATATTTAGCATGGAAATTCCCGATTTAACTTCTCATTTCAATTGGGAGTCTTATCAAATTCAAGGCCAGCCATTGTTACACCTTTAACATTCAATAGTGGGCATTTTTCTCATGGGTGTCTGGCTGTTAGATCCCTCCAAACAGCCCAACAAAACACTGACCTTCCAAGTAGGGGTCCTGGTCTGCAGCTGCTATAGGCAGCATCGAGCCTAGAAAGCTTCTGCTAAATCTGATGGCAATAATAAATGAACACCTTCATATTTAATCTGATTGATTCTCAAACCAGGTACCACCACTACATAAGTTCCATCTAATGGCATACAATGCCTCTAATTTATAAAAATTGATCTCATTCAGACTACAAAACATATCCATAAAGCTTAATTAATAACCACCAGTATTCCTGTTATGAAATGATGCAAGATGCTCACCACTCAAGATGGCACTTCACTGTGAGACTGATTACAATATCACTATCATATTCAAAACATGAGTCATAAAACTTCACAAAGCTCACAAATGTTATAACTTTGAAAAAAATATAAAAAACTGATGTTATCACTAATACTACGAATTTAAATTGATATGCACATTAATAACACATTTAGTGAAACGTCTTTTTTAGTCATTTTAAACAATTAAATATCCATAGTTTCAGTTTTCTGGCATCTACAGTCATGGCCAAAAGTTTTGGCAGTGGCAAATTGTGTTTTGCAAAGTTTGCTGCTTAAGCTGTTGTGGTGTTCATTCACATTGTTTCTAGATTGTGTAGAGTGATCAGATACATTTTAAATAATTGCTAAACTTCATTGGCCAAAAAAGAACTTTTCACAAAAAACAAACAAATTTCACAGTTTTTTTTTTTTTTAACCTGACACAAAATGACCAGCTAACATTAATTGACTAATCATATCAGCAGAACGTGAAAGTGTGAATGAGTACTAGTCAGGTGAAATCACTATCATACTAATTAAATTGTAAGAGCAGACTGATTGCTATAAAAGGAGGGAAGAAGCACTTCCAGTCATTGTGTTCTTGTTAGCAATGGTTACCTCCAAAGAAACACATGCAGCCATCATCGCTTTGAATCAAAATGGCCTCACGTGCGAGGAAATTGCTACAAAGAATATTGCACCTGAAAGAACCATTTACCGGATCATCAAGAACTTCAAGGAGAGAGGTTCGACTGCAGTGAAGAAGTCTTCAGGACGTCCCAGAGTGTCCAGCAAGTGCCAGAACCGTCTCCTCCTGAGGAGTCAGCTACGGAATCATGTCACCAGCAGTGCAGAGCTTGCTCAGGAATGGCAGCAGGTTGGAGTGAGAGCATCTGCACGCACAGTGAGGCCAAGAATTTTGGACAATGGCCTGGTGTCAAGGGCAGCAAAGAAGCCACTTCTCTCTAAGAAAAACGTCAAGGACAGACTGAAATTCTGCAGGAATTCTACTGGTGGTTATTTTCTCTCATGAAGCTCCCTTCCGACTCTTTGGGACATCTGGAAAATTGATTGTTCGAAAAAGAAAAGGTGAAGGCTATCATGAGTCCTGTGATGTGCCAACAGTGAAGCATCCTGAGACCATCCATGTGTGGGCTTGCTTTTCAACCAAGGGAGTGGACTCTCTCATAATTCTGCCCAAAAACACTGCCATGAATAAAGAATGGTATCAAAACGTCCTGCAAGAGCGACTTCTTCCAATGATCCATGAGCAATTTGGTGATGATCCATGCATTTTCCAGCATGATGGAGCACCATGTCACAAAGCCAGAGTGATAAAGAAGTGGCTCGAAAATCATTACATTGAAATTTTGGATCCGTGGCCAGGCGACTCCCCCGATCTCAATCCCATAGAGAACCTGTGGTCAGTCCTCAAAAGGTGAGTGGACAAGCAGAAGCCCACAAATTGTGATCAACTCCGAGAACTAATAAGGCAAGAATGGATCGCCATACTTCAGGATTTGGCCCAGAAGCTAATATCCAGCATTCCAGAGCAAATTGCAGAGGTTATGAAGAACAAGGGTCAACACTGTAAATATTGACATTTTTTTGCCAATAAAAGACTAATGCTTTTTTTTTTTTTTCTTCAGTTTACCACAGAAACAGGAGGGGAAAAAAAAAAAAACTAATACTGAAGCAGCAAACTTTGCAAAACACAATTTGTCGCTGCCAAAACTTTTGACCATGACAGTATACAATTTTTTTTTTTTTTTTAGTTATAAGTTGATAAGATTGTTTTTCCCTACTACTTCACATTTTATAAAACACATTACACAATTATTAAATCAGATTTTTTGTTTTCTCATTTCTGCCCATTTTCAAATTTAACTCAAAGAATGACAATAATAACAACAATAAAATCTATATAATTACTGCCATCAATAACAACAGTTTCCAGAGTTGTCATGCATACTGCAGCTCCAGAGACAAGAGTGAACTCAAATTCACAATTTTCGGTGTTTGCTTCCATTCACTATATATGGCAGTAAACCAAACCTCATTCCAGTGGCATTCAAACATTAAAAAGTGACCATGATCAAGAACCATGAGAAGACTTACCTTTCAAGATGGTTGAAATCAATCCAGTCATGAGAAGAACATACCTGCATTCACAACTGGCTTTGTATAAACATTTTATTTACTCTATACACTTACATGAACAAAACACCATATGAACACAAAGAGACTGATGCAGCGGTTAACTAACCATTTGATTCAGAAGTCTTTTACGTTAAGTCTTTTTTTCTTCTTTTGCAAAACACAGACGGCCGAGGCAGCACAACGCTATCATACTGAATGGTACATGCTTAGTACACTGCCTGCATCAGGAATGGAAATCTCTCTACAGACACTAATCCAAAGTAAAGGAAGTATAAAAGTAACATTTTACAGCAGTTGAAATACTGACATTAATAGCAAGGTTTAAATTATTAAAACCATGAAAGAGGCTTAGGAGGCCAGTCTGAAAGAAAACAAAGATTAAGCAAAACGAAAAGCAGTTTTATGCTCATACCTCTGCATCTGTGGAATATCGTTTCTTCTGCATGTGGATGATGTTTGTGCCTTTTTTTGCAAAGATGTAGCACTGTTACCAAGTAACCCCACCCACCGAAAAAAATAAAAAAAAATCCACAACTCACTCAACTTTGTGTGAGCATCTCTGCTGCCCAAATGCAAAAGGAAAAAGGTACTATACAAAAGGCCAAATTTAAAACCCCCAGGAAGAGTTTGTTAGGACGAGCATCAGTGGATTGACAATGGCACGACACATTCATTTCTTTAAGCCCAGCAGTAAATTAGTATGAAGTGGATATGATTTGTAAGGGGGGAGTAACAGGGGCAAGGAGACCTGGTCAAAACCCATTTCCAATACAGTGCGAAATCTTGTGGTTTACGGCGAGAACTTTTTGGCTTGTGCTCGGACCCTTTTTTCATACTCCACTCTGTTTTGGCTGAAACAGAAACGCAAACACAAGATTCATAACAGAGGCAATAAGCATTTCAGTGTCAACAGGCAAGACTATATTTGAGCTGGAGGTGCGTACCAGTAAATTGTGTATGCTTCAGCCTGTGCGGGGTCCTGAATATTTGGTTCATTAAGGAGTTCTTGGATTCCTAGCAAGATCTAGAAATATAAATCAGTTGCGGAGCTTTATGAGATGACACTGCCCTCTTCAGGATTGCATGGAAGACTTGGTTTAAGGGAGATTTTTAGATGCACCACAAATCAATATGACATTTGAAGTTCAATTTAGAAAACAAAAACCTGAAAATGAAATCCAATGAAAATATAATTCATCCTTAAACAATCTTGACCTACACTTATTTTTTGTTATTGGCAGTTCCATTTAAAGAGCATTTAACAACGCGTCCATCAATTTACAAAGCGGTGCAACATTTAAGGACATTTTACAGCTTACCTGCTTGATTGTAATGGCAGGCCTCCAGTCTTTGTCTTCCTCTAATATAGACAAGCATACGGTACCAGACGGATATACATTCGGATGGAATAAAGGGGGCTCAAATTTACCTGTAGAAGTCACATTACAAAACCCAGCCATAATTAGACATGTGCAATGTGCATACTACAAAGTACAAACAAAGGATTAGATCCACTAAACGTCTGATTTACACTTTGGTGGAGAGGAAGGGTAGTCGTCCTTGAACAGCATCCGAAGTTTGAACAAGCCTCCCTCCCACGGTGTCTGAAAAGAAAAAAAAGAAATTAAGTTACCATTATCTTCATTCATAATAAATACAAGTATGGAACGATTTTCCGGACTATTTTCAAATAGAATAGCAAATTGTATTTTCAATTGCGTTTTCAATATGTGGACGCATAAATTGTGACATAATCCAAATGCAATTGAAAATCCTGCATTACCATTTGCATTTTCGCTTTCGCGAACGCACAGTGACTGCCAAATTTCAAATGAAAAAGCAAAGTCCATTTGCAACTGTATTGCCCATGTCTTAGGAGTTACGAGCCTGTCATATTTAAATAGCAATATTAATTACCAGTCTGCTTTTCACTCTCGCTGCGTCCCGCATGTAACCTGCCAAAACTCAAATGGAATCGCAATTCCTTTTGCATTTGAATTTCCGATGTCTACATGGAAAGCTGCCAATCAATGTGAGGGGCCGGGACTATACTAGGGGGCGTGTTTGTATTGGGAGGTGACGTCACTCACAGACGACCGTGCCGAATGCTCTGATCAATGGAGTAATAAAGGCTCCGCTAAAGGCAGCTACCAATCAGTTTCGTACCTGTGTGAACGAACAGACAGTGCAACCTTCTTGGCACAATACATAATTATGTCTTTTTTACCCCAAATGTAGCGATTATCCCCTGCTAAAAGCGGGAGCCACAACGGTACCCACATTAGGTCAATATTCACTATTAACCAAACGCTTTCACCTGTCTCAGCATCTCTCACTGTTTACACTCACACTTTTAATCCGTAATAGAGAGCGTGTCACACCTGCCTCAAGACCTTTTACCGTTTGCACTCCACTTGATGAACTTAAGCAAACAAACAGAGCAAATCTACACGTATTTACCTATTTGCCGCCTATATCTTATTCCTATCTAATAGCCTATGTGCACCTGCCTCAAGAGCTCTCAGTCTGTTTACGATCCGATAGATGCATGTGACAAAACAGAAAATGCTGCTACTCTTACTCTGCCTGCCCCAGATGACACTTCACCAGTCAGATCTAGGTGCAGCTGTCACAGAACACGCCACAGCCAAGGCAAGATAACATTAAAAATCACGTGCATCAATCGCGGTGTCCAGTGGCTGTAAATAGTGAGAGATCTTGAGGCAGGCGCAACGCTTTGGTGCCACGTACGGGA